CAGATATAAAGTAAATATATAAAAATATATTTCCTCCATACTTCCATACTGTTTCTGAAATATAATAGAAAAATCCCATCACAATTGCAACCAAAAAATATAGCTAGGAATCTTTATGAAGGAATGAAGGAATTTAAACAACAAAAACTATACAACTTTATTGGGAAGCTGGGCCCAATGGCACACTCCTGTAATCCTAGCACTTTGGGAAGCCAAGGTGGGAGGATCACTTAAGTCCAGGAGTTCAAGACCAGCCTGGGCAACATAGTGAGACCTTATCTCTAAAAATAAAAATAAAAATAAATTTTAAAACTTTACTGAGACACATAAAAGTGTTGAATAATTGGAGAGGCATTATTATTCTAAAAAACCAAATATGCTATAAAGATTTTAGTATTTCCTAAACTTAGATATTTAACCTAATTTCAATTAGGGCTTAAGTTTTTGTCTGTTTCTTTGTCTATTTTTAATTGGTGGAGGTTATTCCCCCTCATAAGAATGATTGTGATGTTCATTTGGAAATAGACATGGTTGGAAATAGCCAAGATAGTTATAAAAAAGAAGAATGTATACAGGAGAAGAGCTTCTTCAATGCACTACTGTAAAGTTACAGAGATAAAAACATGTATGTAGTAGACAGGCTGGTAATAACCTAGCATACATCAGAGTCCAAAACCTGGTAGAGATGGCAGCTCAGTCAACGAAGAAAGGAGGGATTATTTAGGGAACAATGCTGGGTCGGTTATTTGAAGAAGAATTAGTTGGCTTCTCACTTTACTTGTACCACACACAAAAATAAAAAACCAGATAAAGAATTACATGTAAAGCAAAAGTTTAAGAGAAGAAAATGTGTGACCATCAGCGTCTGTAATGGGGAACAATTTTAAGGATAAAACTAACAAAAATATCACAAAAATAAAAATTGTTGCTGGCTGTTTAGTAGAAACAGAAAACCCCTTCCACTTATCGAAAATATACCATAAATAGGCTGGGCACAGTGGCTCTCACCTGTAATCCCAGCACTTTGGGAGGCCGAGGTGGGCAGATCACCTGAGTTCGGGAGTTCGAGACCAGCCTAGCCAACGTGGTGAAACCCTGTCTCTACTAAAAATACAAAATTAGCCAGACTTGCTGGTGCATATCTGTAATCCCACATGTGGGAGGCTGAGGCACAAGAATCGCCTGAACCTGGGAGACGGAAGTTGCAGTGAGCAGAGATCACACCACTGCACTCCAGCCTGGATGACAGAGCGAGACTCTATCTCAAAAAATATATATATGCACACACGCCATAAATAAAAGACAAATGGCAAACTAAGATAAAGTAGTTACAAGTATAATAATGGCCCTAATATATAAATCATTTTTTAATAAATCAGTAGGAAAGCTCTTGAATTTCAACAGAAAAGGGTACAGAAGACATATGAAATACTAATAAAATTACCAATGGTAAAAACATGATTTTTTAACAACACCAGCCTCTTCAGTAATTCAAAATGTGATTTAAAGACAACAGAAAGGTACCATTGTCCATCTACGAAATCGAGAATTACTTTTAATGTGTTTCTAATATTCATTACGTGTGGGAATATACCAAGATAGGCACTGTCATGTACTGTGCTGAGATTATAGATTGATAAAACCTTTCTGGAAAAGTGTTTCCACTTTTTCAAGTGTTCCTATTTCAAGGGCCTTAAAATACTTAACATACCTTTTAACCTAACAATTTGCCTTTAGCAAGTAATCATCTATATTTGTCAAGCATTTAAGTATTAAAATGTTCATTGTAGGCCAGGTACAGTAACTCATATTTGTAATCCCAGCACTTTGGGAGGTTGAGGCAGGAGGATCACTTGAGTCCTGGAGTTCAAGACCAAAGTAACATGACAAAACCCCATCTCTACAAAAAAAATAAAATATTTGCCAGGCATGGGGTGGCACACAATCTGTAGTCCCAGCACTCAGGAGCTGAGGTGGGGGAATTGCCTTGAGCTCCCAGGAGTTTTGAAGGCTGCAGGGAGCTTTGATCGTACCACTGCACTCAGCCTGGAGCAACAGAGTGAGATGCTGGTCTCTACAAATAATGAAGCAGAGAAAATGTTAATTGCAGCAACATATATATTACTAAGACTTAGAAATAATTAAATATCTAAACAGTATGGAGTTAATCTGGAATAGGAGAGTTAAACTGGAAAACCATACTTATGATTAAATATTATAGAGCTATTAAAATATATATGAGTCGGCGGCCGTGCCGGTGGCTCACTCCTGTAATCCAGCACTCTTGGAGGCTGGAGGCAGGCGGATCACATCCAGGAGGAGATCGAGGACGATCCTGGCTAACATGGGTGAAAGACATCCACCATCTATCTAAATAACAAAAAAAAGTACAAAAGCGGCGCGGTGGGCTCAAGCCTGTAATCCACGCGACTATTTGGGGAGGCCGAGACGGGGGATCAGACAAGTCAGAGATAGAGAATCTGGCTTAACACCCGTGGAACCCCCATCTCTAACTAAAAAAATACAGGGAAAAGAAACCTAGCCGGTGTGGTGGCGGGCGCTGTAGTCCACAGCTACTCGGAGAGGCTGAGGCAGGAGAAGGGGTGTGAACCCAGGAGGCGGAGCTTTGCAGTGAGCTGAGTTGCACCACGGCAGCTGCAGCCTGGGCCGACCCAAATGGTCATATAGTATAGGGGATGCAGAAAGGGTTAAATAATACTCTGGATGAAAAACAGGCATGCAAGGGTATTACATTAGCTCCCATTTTGGGGCTGAGTTTGAGATGATTGTGAATCTTTATTTTTTTGCTATTTTTTCCCAATTTCTATAATTATGTATTTTGCCTGTTGAGCAAAATAACCGTTGAAAATTGTTTCTCAAAATAATATTCAAGAGAATAAAGGTGCAGTGAGTTCTCATATTAGTTAAAATATAGAAATCCTGTGACCATTAACAGCAAGTTATCTTTAGGTGATTTAATGTTGTTTTATAGGAATGGGCTCTTTATGATGGGATGTCACTCATGTTTGCCCAGGCTGGTCTTGAACTCCTGGCCTGAAGCAATCTCCCACCTCTTGCGCCTTCCAAGTAGCTGGGAATTTACAGGCACAAGCCATGGCAGATGTAGATATATTTTTTATTTATTTTTTAGTGACGGGATAGTAGCTCATATTACTGTGTTGCCCCAGGCGTGGACTCCAACTCCTGCGCCTTGTCAAAGTGATCGCTCAGCCTCAGCCTCCAGAGTGCGGACTATAGGCACATACCACTCTTGCCAGCTTTATTTTTAAACTTTATTTCTATTTGTTTTGCAACTTTTGGCTCTGTTAACCAATCTATTACTACTCTTATAAAAAAGTTAAAAACATTCTTTATTAAAACAAAGAATTAGGGCCCGCGGCATGGTGGCTCACGCCTGTAATAATCCAGCATTTGGGAGGCTGACTGGAGTGGATTACCTGAGGTCAGGAGTTTGAACCAACCTGGCCAAACATGGGAAACCCCATCTTACTAAAAATACGAAATTAGCCAGGATGCCGGCACAATGCCTGTAATCCCAGCTACTCAGAAAAGCTGAGACAGGAGAATCCACTTGAACCCGGGAGGCAGAGGTTGCAGTGAGCTGAGATTGCGTCATTGCACTCCAGCCTGGGCGGCAGAGCGAGACTTCGTCTCAAAAAAAAAAAAAAAAGATGATATCCTTATCAGAGATTTAATGGATACTAACCATATTTAATCCTCAGTCTCATTATGCTGATTTAATTTTTATTATCCATATATTATCATATTTAGGTTATGTTCATTTTTCACCAATTTTGTTAATCCCTAGTGTTTTCGTTTGTTTTTGAGATGGAGTCTCGCTCTGTTGCCCAGACTGGAGTGCAGTGGTACAGTCTCAGCTCACTGCAACCTCTGCCTCCTGGGTTCAGGTGATTTTCCTGCCTCAGCCTCCAGAGTAGCTGGGATTACAGGCGCCTGCCACCACACCCAGCTCATTTTTGTATTTTTAGTAGAGACAGTGTTTCACCATGTTGGCCAGGCTGGTCTTGAACTCCTGACCTCAGTTGATCCATCCTCCTCTGCCTCCCAAAGTACTGGGATTACAGGCAGGAGCCACCGCACCTGGCCATGTTTTTTGTTTATAAAAGAAAAAGAAAATTCCTAGAGTGCACTTTACTCCCTGATAGGAGACTAAATTATTTAAATATAAATTTTAGAAGGTACATGTTAAATTAACCTAATGAATTAGTAGCGTTCAGAAGTGTTTGTATCTGTTAAAGGTTGGAAATGTACAAACTACTTTCTTTTAGTGGTGATTTTATTTCTAGTAAACTAAGACAGAAATCATTATGCAGAAGAAACAGCACCCCCTTAACGAATATAAAAATGTTCTTTTTATAAACCGTCTCTGTTCTCACTTTATTGTTAGGAAGGAGTAATCTGTTTTCATGTGATATAAGTACCTGTGAGTCATGTTGAGTTTCTTCACTCATTTGTCCAATTCCCAGGCAATCTGTAGGTGGAGTTAACCTTTAGTTACATAATATAACAAAACAAACATTAACCCTACTGCTTCTGGGACAGTCTTCTCACCAAAACTCAGGGAAAATGGGAGGGTGTTGCCACTGACTGACTTAATGAAAGTATCTGACAAATGTAAGAGTTCTTTCAAATAGTGAAATAAGAAATGTATATCAAGTATTTGATGGACTACTTACTTTCTATCTACACACACACACACACACTATGTATCAGTGTATGTGTACTTTCGTTTTATAGCTATTAAATATGAGGTGCTAGAATGAGTTTCCAGTTTGCAGAATTCTGAGAATGTAGTGCCATCACCTTTGTGAGGACAACAACCACGATTGCACTTGCCATATTTATTAGTCAAAATGAAGCAAAGTCAATCTGTTGAAAGCTTCGTTTTGTTTTTCTGATTAGTTTGTTTAATAAGACATTCAAATTATGATCTTTAATATTGTTTCTTCCCTTAATAGCTTGGTGCTAACAGTGGTTTGCACATCATCATCTTTGATGAAATTGATGCCATCTGCAAGCAGAGAGGGAGCATGGCTGGTAGCACGGGAGTTCATGACACTGTTGTCAACCAGTTGCTGTCCAAAATTGATGGCGTGGAGCAGCTAAACAACATCCTAGTCATTGGTATGTTTACTTTCTTAAAAAGTATGGTTCATTCAAAAACATTAGCCATAAGTTCTGAATTAAGATATGTGTAGGTTGTGATTAAACTGTTTTGCCAGTGTTTCCAAATTAGAATCCAGTGATATTAAAGAATCTTTTGTAATGCCTAGACTTAATAGGAAAAATAAAAGATGCATTTCAGTCACTTGTAGGTTGAAGCTTATAGCTCACCTGCAGATGAAAAAGATGTAGGTTGAAGCTTATAGCTCACCCAAAAATGAAAAATACACATGAAACAATGGAATGCAGTGGTTTTCAAACTGGGTCTTGCAGGCCTTCAGGGGTCCTCAGAGGTGCTTTCAGGGTCAGTGAGGGCCAGGGAGTGCATTTCAGATCCTACATCACGATTATGACTTCCTCTTTTAGCTGTTTTAAGTACTGAGGTGCTTCTGAAGATGACGTCTAGGGGGAAAAAAGAAAAACACCCTGCTGTTGTATGAAGTCTGAAAACCACTGGCCTATAAAAAAGAGAAGCAACTTTGGAGTCAGAGAGATCGTGTCACATTGCCCCTCTGTCACTTGGACAGATTATTTACCCTTTGAACCTTAAATTTTCTTTTTAAATACAGGAAGTTTCCATAACATTTATATTTCATTGGCTTATACAATAGTGAAATAGTAAAGCAAAGTCTCCTTAGTTTGTTAGGGAAATTACTATTCTTACATATACTAAAAGGACATTTGATTTTATTTTTGAACTCTGATCATTTGTTGTTTTAACATCGGTGTTCAGGAATGACCAACAGACCAGATCTGATAGATGAGGCTCTTCTTAGACCTGGAAGACTGGAAGTTAAAATGGAGATAGGTAAGGAGATCTGTCACTGATTGGTGAGTGGTAGGGGGAGTGGAGGCATTTCGAGTTCATTAACAGGAACAATGTCATGTGGCTTAGTACTTTTTAGAAAAGTTTTATATCATGAGAAGTAGATGTTTATATGCTTGAGTACCTATAGGGAAAATATTAGGATTATAACAATCTCCTCTAGGCTGGCACAGTGGCTCACGCCTGTAATCCCAGCACTTTGGGAGGCTGAGGCAGGTGGATCACTTGAGGCCAGTAGTTCGAGACCAGCCTGGCCAACATGGTGAAACCCTGTCTCTACTAAAAATACAAAAAAATCAGCCGGGCGTAGTGGTGTGCACCTGTAATCCCAGCTACTTGGAAGGCTGAGATGGGAGAATCGCTTGAATCCAGGAAGCGAAGGTTACAGTGAGCTGAGATCGTACCACTGCACTCCAGCCTGGGAAACAGAGCGAGACTCTGTCTCAAAATAATAATAAATAATAATCTCCTCTGATGGTGCTTTCGAGACTAGGAAAATGCCTATTTTATTTTTAATTTCATCAGGCTTGCCAGATGAGAAAGGCCGACTACAGATTCTTCATATCCACACAGCAAGAATGAGAGGGCATCAGTTACTCTCTGCTGATGTGGACATTAAAGAGCTGGCCATGGAGACCAAGAATTTCAGTGGTGCTGAATTGGAGGGTCTGGTGCGAGCAGCGCAGTCCACCGCTATGAATAGACACATAAAGGTGAGGAAAATCAGCTAAACAGATTATAAACATTATGCCAGAATTCTTTCTCTTTTCTTTCAAGCATATCAAGGAGTAGGGAAATACTGACTTTTGGTGGAGAAGAGATGGTAAAAGGAATAAGAATTAATTGTCAACTGCTAAATCTTCAGAGTAGCAGGAAGGAAGATAATGTTTGCATCTGCCCTATAGTAACTGCTGACTCATCTACCTTAGGTCATCACCATCTGACACAGACACGTGAAGTGAAAATTTTGAAGGAGTGTTTTTTAATCTTTGTACTGTATTAAAAGTTGTGGCCGGGCGCAGTGGCTCAAGCCTGTAATCCCAGCACTTTGGGAGGCCGAGACGGGTGGATCACGAGGTTAGGAGATCGAGACCATCCTTGCTAACACGGTGAAACCCCCCCCCGTCTCTACTAAAAAATACAAAAAACTAGCTGGGCGATGTGGCGGGCGCCTGTAGTCCCAGCTACTCGGGAGGCTGAGGCAGGAGAAGGGTGTGAACCCAGGAGGCGGAGCTTGCAGTGAGCTGAGATTGCACCACTGCACTGCAGCCTGGGCGACAAGTCATATTGTATAGGGATGAGAAAGGGTTAAAAATAATACCTGGATGAAAAACAGGATGCAAGGTATTACATAGCTCCATTTTGGCTGAGTTTGAGATGATTGTGAATTCTTTATTTTTTGCTATTTTCCCACATTTTCTATAATTATGTATTTTGCTGTTGGAAGCAAAAATAACCGTTGAAAATTGTTTTCAAAGAATAATATTCAAGAGAATACAAGGTGCAGTGAGTTCTCAATATTTAGTTAAAATATAGAAATCTGTGGACCATTAACAGCAGTTATCTTTAGGTGATTTAATGTTGTTTTATAGATGGGTCTTTATTGATGGGATGTCACTATGTTGCCCAGGCTGGTCTTGAACTCCTGGCCTGAAGCAATCTTCCCACCTCTGCCTTCCAAGTAGCTGGGATTACAGGCACAAGCCATGGCAAATGTAGTATATTTTTATTTATTTTTTAGTGATGGGATCTAAAAATGTAGTATATTTTTTAGTGTGTTGCCCAGGCTGGACTCCAACTCCTGGGCTCAAGTGATCCTCCAGCCTCAGCCTCCAGAGTAGCTGGGACTATAGGCACATACCACTCTGCCCAGCTTTATTTTTAAACTTTATTTCTATTTGTTTTGCAACTTTTGCTCTGTTAACAAATCTACTACTCTTATAAAAAGTTAAAAAAACATTCTTTTATTAAAACAAAGATTAGGCCGGGCATGGTGGCTCACGCCTGTAATCCCAGCACTTTGGGAGGCTGAGCTGAGTGGATTACCTGAGGTCAGGAGTTTGAGACCAACCTGGCCAACATGGTGAAACCCCATCTCTACTAAAAATACGAAAATTAGCCAGGAGTGCCGGCACATGCCTGTAATCCCAGCTACTCAGAAAGCTGAGACAGGAGAATCACTTGAACCCGGGAGGCAGAGGTTGCAGTGAGCTGAGATTGCGTCATTGCACTCCAGCCTGGGCGGCAGAGCGAGACTTCGTCTCAAAAAAAAAAAAAATGATGATTCCTTATCAGAGATTTAATGGATACATAACCATATTTAATCCTCAGTCTCATTATGCTGATTTAATTTTTTATCCATATATTATCCATATTTAGTTATGTTTTCCATTTTTCACCAAATTTTGGTTAATCCCATAGTGGTTTGTCGTTTGTTTTTGAGATGGTAGAAGTCTCGGCTTGCTGGTTGCCTCAGACTGGAGTGCAGTGGTACAGGTGCCTCAGCTCACTGCAACCCTGCCTCCTGGGGTTCATGTGATTTTCTTGCCCTCAGCCTCCAGAGTAGCTGGGATTACAGGCGCCTTGGGGCACCACACCCAGCTCATTTGTATTTTTCAGTAGAGACAGTGTTTTCACCATGTTGGCCAGGCTTGGTATTGGAACCTTCCTGGACCTCAGTGGATCCATCCTCCCTCTGCCTTCCCAAAATAACGGATTACGGCAGGAAGCCACCGCACCTGGCCATGTTTTTGTTCTATAAAAGAAAAGAAAATTCTAGAGTGCATTTACTCCCTGATAGGGAGCGGGACTAAAATTGATTTAAATATAAATTTTTAGAACT